GTGTCTCCTTGTCTACAAAAGCACACTTGTGTATTAAAATTACGCATACTATTAACTAAAAATGTTGACGCATAAAACATATTAACTATATGGTAGAAAGTTATATTAAAAAAATGTTATATTGTTACTCTATTTAGTTTGGTGTGTGTGGCGATGATTCATGATACTTGGCACATAATCTCATCACGCACGTGGACATGGTAACAGTTTATATATTTTCGACCTCCTATAATTACATTACTTTTGTATCGTACGAAAAGGCATGAAATTATGGAGGGACCACGCTATCAAGGACGATAAGGTCGGTCTATAATGTGGATCATATGAACAAAAGCATTCGTTAGTACACAAATTGTTGTCGGTATTTAGCTCGGACACACTTTATATATCGCCCAAACTTTTTGTAAGGGTAACTATTTTTATCTCGCCGAAACAACTTTGATTAGTTGATAATACATTTTCCATTATAGAAGTTCCGTAATAGAACGGAGTTTTATCTTGGAAAAGAAGTGCGTAGAAAAGGAAGAAAATACACACAAGTGGTAGATTAGATAATGAGAATGTCCAATAATTGAATTTCCAAACGATATAGCTAACTGAAAGAGATGTAGATTTGGTCAATCACAGTGACGTAACATATATAATGATAGCTACTTTTCTAACGTCTCTTTCATTAATTGTTATAGAATAATAAACAAAGTGACGTGTTTATTTGTTGCATCCACTCGCTAACATCTCTTACATTTATTTGTTTTGTTTGTTTTTTTCATAGAAGTTAATTAGGAACCTAAATTGCTACAATTAACCACCCATATATTATTATACTATATAAGGGTTACAACAACAAAAATGATATTAGGTTCTACGTCATTATCAGTTTGTCACTCGTACCTAATCAAGGTAATATCACCTTCTAATCATATCAAGTCAAACCTAATAATGACTGTTGTTAACTTTATTATTTTTTTTTTGTTAAGGAACTTTATTAGTTGTTTGTTTGTATTTGATCACATAACTTAATATTAACTATCCCAAAATATTGTTTGCCTTTTCAAGATTAACTAACAACTATTCAATTCAATTTCAAGGTAAATAATCATCATAATTCATGAAGAATTGGTCTGGAAACGAATGATGAGTTAACTAATTAGTAATGTTTAATCAATCATATTTAAAATATGCAGGGACTAGTGACATTGACACTCACAGCATCACTTCCTCAACTTCACCCAGCATCATGCAACGTTCAGCAACAACTCAATTGTGCCGGTCCGAACAAGCTCCAGTTCGGAATTTTGCTATTAGGTCTTTGTTTCCTCTCCATAGGAAGTGGAGGAATACGACCATGTAGCATCCCTTTTGGTGTTGATCAGTTTGACCAACGAACCGAGCAAGGGCTTAAAGGAGTGGCCAGTTTCTTCAACTGGTATTACATGACTTTCACTATCGTTCTACTCATTACACAAACCGTGGTTGTGTATATCCAAGACCAAGTCAGCTGGATCATAGGTTTTAGTGTCCCTACCGGACTCATGGCTTGTGCTGTGATTATGTTTTTCGCCGGAATGAAGCTTTATGTCTACGTTAAACCTGAAGGGAGTATATTCTCTGGGATCGCTCAAGTTATCGTGGCAGCTCGAAAGAAGCGAAAGATGAAACTCCCGGCCGAAGATGACGGCACTGTGAACTACTATGACCCACCTGTCAAAGATAGCGTGTTATCCAAGTTACACCATAGTAACCAATTCAGGTACTTTCTATGAGCTTTTCAACTATTACATGATATTTTAACTAGGGTAGATCATGAACCGAATCTCAAACTAATCCTGATCCTATTCAATATAATCTAGTTCGTTAAACTATTACATTTTAACGTGTAATCTAATTGGCATTGGAATTATATATAATAGGTTTCTAGACAAAGCGGCAGTGATAATAGAAGGTGACCTAACATCTGAAGGAGTTCCGGCGAACAAATGGCGGTTATGTAGCATCCAAGAAGTGGAAGAAGTGAAGTGTTTGATCCGAATTGTACCTGTTTGGTCAGCCGGAATAATATCACTCGCGGCCATGGCACAACAAGGAACGTTCACTATCTCTCAAGCTTTGAAAATGGACCGACATTTAGGTCCGAAATTCGAGATTCCGGCTGGTTCTCTCTCCGTCATCTCTCTACTCACAATTGGTGTCTTTCTTCCCGTATACGACCGCGTTATGGTCCCGCTCCTCCGGCGAATCACCGGCCATAAATCCGGAATCACGCTCCTGCAACGTATCGGGACAGGGATCGTTTTCGCGATCTTGTCCATGATCGTTGCAGGGCTGGTGGAGCGCGTGAGACGCACGCGCTCCATAAACGCTGGTGATCCGACTGGAATGACTCCAATGTCGGTGTTTTGGCTCTCACCTCAGCTTATTCTGATGGGACTATGTGAAGCATTCAATATTATCGGACAGATTGAGTTCTTCAACAGTCAGTTTCCGGAACACATGAGAAGCATCGCTAATGCTCTCTTCTCTTTATCCTTCGCCGGTTCGAACTACCTTAGCAGTTTGATAGTGACCATCGTTCATAAATTCACAGGTGGACGTGACCGTCCTGATTGGCTCAACAAGAATCTCAACGCGGGAAAATTGGATTACTTCTATTATCTGATTGCGGTTATGGGAGTGATTAATCTGGTTTATTTTTGGTATTGTGCTCGGGGTTACCGGTATAAGGTCGGTTCACAGATAGGAGGTTTTGAAGAGGACAAGAGTTTCTCTGATGTTGAGATGAGTTCGAAAAAACAGCTGAAATGATTTAATAGTCTGGTTAGGAGCAAACAGATGATGATCGATGTTGTTGTAATGATTATTATGACAATGTATCTATATTGTATAATAAGAAGAACTAGATTATATAATAAAACTGAAACCTTTTGTTATATATGTAGAAGTATTGGATAGTTTACAATTTATTTAAATTTTATAACTTTCTCTTGATACTCTCTGGTTGGTAGTGGTATCCTACAAAATAAATTTTAACAAACAAAACATATTTTAAATTCATGGAACTTAGTTAGATGGATTGCTGATGAATTAAGGTTTCAACCCAAAAATGATACTCCGAGTGCACATCAAATTGCAATATTATTTGAGGGATCAAATCCATATAGACAAATGTTACACAACGAATCTATAAAAACAAATTTATGCTAAGATAAAATATAATTTTTTTGTTTTC